AGCTTCGAAAAAAAAAAAAAAAGAATCTAGTGGGATCTCTCTCAGAGTGATTTAGCTCTAAATACGTTCCTCTCTGTTCTGTTCTCCCTGACACTGCCCGAGTTATGGAAACAGAATAGTCCTCACAGAGAGGTCTTTTTCAGTCATATGACGGGTATGTTCGGCAAACTCTCCTGAACTTACCTATGAAATGAAGGGACTTGAGGATGGATATCCTTTTTGAATGCAATGCAAAGTCAAGCCCCTTTTTGCTTTGGCAGAGGGCTTACCACCTGCACACCTTCCCTTCACTCACTGTTCCTCAATACAAAGTGTGCAGATTCCCTTGTGTACAAGTAGCTAAGAAAGATTTCCAGATACTATAAAATATAGCGTCACCTGCCAATAAGAGTGAAGCTTTACATATCTTGTCATGGGAAAAAGCAAAAAGAATGATACACATTTATATAACCAAAGGCAATGCCTAAATAGCGAATGATCAATGTGAGGCTATTGAACAGGGGACGGGCCTTAAAGGTCTTGTTATGTCTGGATCTCCTACAGTAAGAAACATTTAAGAAAAACTTATAATCTCATTACTATAAATTATTTAGGTTTTAGATCTTTCTGTAACATCAATTTACAAACAAGTTCATGGCCAGAAAACTTAACTGGTACTTGTTCGCATGCCTGTTTATTTTAAATAATTCTTTTAATTTATTTGTAAATTGGTTGTGTGGACCACAGAATGAATTGTCTCATGGATCATGTCTTCAAAGTTACTGGAGATAGACTGTGAACATCTATTAAGCTCACCCAAAACCTTGTTCTCCCCCTTTCTTTACCTTTTTTTGTTCTTTTGTCAGACAAACAACTTTGAATAGAATCTTATCACTCCAAAATATATTTGTTTCTGTTGCCCTTGACTCCTAGGGACCAAAGGGGGTCTCTCATCTAGGAGAAGAGTAATTTTTTTATAGCTGCATAGGAAGAACTTGCTCCAGAATATTCTCACTTCCTGGGTGTTCCAAACTGGGAACTTGGGAATGGCTGTTCCAACTTCAATTTCAAACTTTCTTATTTCTTGGCTTACATTAAATTCTCCGGGACTCAGAATACTCTTTCCTTCTGTACACTTTCAGATATTGTGATTTTTCTAATATCAAATCCCATTTTATTTGCTTATTTATTTTTAATATTTTTATTGAGTTTTTGTGCATTTCATACAATCTTTTAAAATAAGATTTAGATCGTCTCTCCCATCCATGCCCCCCCATCCTCCCACCCCACTGCACAAGCCCTCATGCATTTTGTAATATATGTTAAATCCTATTAGGTCAAGCATTTGTACTCAGATATCGTTCGGTACAAGTTCATCCGCTGGAGTCTAGTCAGCTTATCTAGTGATGTTAAAGAAGATCTACTCTCCCTCACCCAGTAGTAATCAGTTGCCAACAGTTCCCAGGCTGGAACTGGAGCCACTGCCCAGTCTCACTCCATGTTGGGCCCTCGTCTGATTGTGATGGCATGGGTCTTGTAGTAATCAGTTGCCAACAGTTCCCAGGCTGGAACTGGAGCCACTGCCCAGTTCTCTCACTCCATGTTGGGCCCTCGTCTGATTGTGATGGCATGGGTCTTATGAATGACCATCACCATTTCTGCAAGTTCACATGAACAAGCTTCCAGTGGCCTGAAAGTTTCTGTTTCCTATGTTCACGGACCAACCCTGGCACTTACAGCCTTTCTGGCCCCTTTTCCATAATGGTTCCTGAGCCATGGGTGAATGAGATTTGATATAGAAGTCCTATCCAGGGACACATACTCTGAAGTCCCTTATTCTCTAAAACTTAGTCCATTGTGGCCTTCTGTGTGCATTGCACTCTGTTGTGTAAGGAAGGTTTGCTGCTAAAAATTGAAGCATGCACTAGTGTTCTCTCCACCCCTGTTCTGCTATGTTCCATGAGCCTTAGCTGTAGAGGTTCCACTGTAGATGTGTCACTTAGGGATAGGCATCTCTCAGACATGTAGCCTCTGTTTTGTGACCAGTTGTGGAACTCTGTAATAGCCTCCATCTGTTTCAAAAAGAAGCTTCTTTGATGAGTGGTATATGGTATACTTGTCTGTAAATATAAGGATCCATAGCTAGCATATGGTAAGAAATTTCATTTGCTTAGAGATATGACAGAGACAGGGTTTTCTCTAGGATCTATGACCTCTCCAGCCATGTGTATTTGGCTATAATTACAGTGCCACCCATGAGTTCCCACCCACTGAGAAGTTTATAAGTCCAATTAGGTAGCTTTTGGTTACTTCCCAGTTAACAGAGCCACTATTGCACTAATAGAGGTAGTTTGCTATACGAGTTGTTGTGGTTATTAGGCTTTAGAGCTGGGTTGGACCGCTTACTGGTTTTCTCCCTTAGCAGCTTGCATAGTAACCTCTAGAACTATGAGAGCTAGTCTTCAATGAGAAGGCTTCAAGATCAGCTCCAGCTGCATTGCTCCAAGTCCTGTGTCTGAAGTATGTCTTATCTTTGGCAGTAGGGTCTTACTGTAAAGTTCTGGGAGATAACCAAGGCTCTGGCACTAGCCTGTGTTATTTTGGGAGTCTCTTGGACTACCGTGACTAACGATTGGGAAGGAGGTCTCTTGTGGCTGGCACTGTGCCATACAGGCCCCAGGTGTACACATACAGTAATGTTCATGCCAAACATTTATTTCTCAGGGGCTTCCAGAGCCTATACATTTCCCTCTAGCTTCCCATGCCACCCAAGCTCCATTCATCTCTCCTTTCTCTTCCCCTGTCCAATCACCCTCTTCCCTCCCCAATCCAAGCACCC